CCAGGGGCCTCTGTTGCTCTCTGGCTTTGGGGGTTCTTTGCACAGGATCTTGGTGATTGCTGCCCAGACCCTGCACGTGGGTCTGGTGGTGCCAGGAAAGGAAAGGCCGGGCAGGCTCCCTCGGGGCAGCTTCACGGAGGAGCGTCTGGGACCTGCTGTCAGCACAGCTGCCCTGCATGCCCAGAAGCAAAGTAACGGCCCTGCACAGGCAGAGGCTGGTGAGGAACAGGGCAGGGGGTGTGGGTGGGGGGCGACCCACTGCCAGAGAGGAGCCCTGGGCCCCAGAAACGACGGACACTGTTGCTCACAGGTGACATTCCCTGGTTGCTTAACGGAGTTCAGGGGTGGAGTAAACTCACTTATTCAATAGTCCATACCTGGGCTCACTGATATGGGGGGTAAGCACCTGAGCTCAGATAACCACAGCCATCTAGTAACTGATCTAAGCATGATGCAATGTGTTGCTTTATGTTCAGAGAAAATAAACTTAATTATATATATAATTATACATATAATTATATATATATATATATGCACTGTAGCACTGTCCTCCCGTTGTTCATCGATTTGCTTGAGCAGGCCCAGTAACGTCTCCATTGTAAGACTTATTACTGTGTTTGGCATATCAAATACGTCATGGGTAGCTTGCCAGACTTTGCCGCACGGACGAGATACTCTCAGTAGCTTGCTGGCCTCTCCAAGAGGGGCAGAGGAATCACTCCAGCCCATATATAAATGTATGTATGTATGTATGTGTGTGTATATATATATATATATATAGAAGTGTAAGCGATGTGAAGAAGTGAACCACAAACTCAGAAAGAAAATCATTAGGTGTTGGGGCTGGAGCAATAGCACAGCCGGTAGAGTGTTTTCCTTGCACGCGGCCGACCCGGGTTCGATTCCCAGCTTCCCATTTGGTCCCCCGAGCACTTCCAGGAGTGATTCCTGAGTGCAAAGCCAGGAGTGAGCCCTGAGCATCGCTGGGTGTGACCCAAAAAGAAAAAAATCATTAGGTGTTAACATAAAACCCAGTGGCCATTCGGTGGGGGGTCCTCAATAATCCAAAATTTTCTAGAAAACCAGGGGACTCAGACCTTGTGAGCTCACCACCTGACCTTTCGTCCATCCGCTCCTGCCATTGCTTCTCGCCACCACACGACGGCGCTATGGACAATCGCCCGGTCTCGGGAAGAGCGCTGAGTAGGATGAATTTGTTCCCTGGAGTTGATCAGATCCTGCCAGGAACTCTGAGTAATCCAAACGCAGGGTTCCCAAATCTAGCAACGAGCTCCCATTTTTGGTTTTCAGGGGCACGTCTGGTCTTAGTGTGATTACGCCCCAATTCGCAATTCTTCCCTTCCGAAGACCGCGCTCCCAGCCGCTGTTCACGGAACATCCTCCAGGGGGCGACACCTACACGGAGGACCGCGGCGGTGGGAGGCGCCCGCCCACCAGAGCACTGCGTTACCCCAGGATGGTTTTAATCTGCAGCGGGGCATCCGCGCTCTGGCGGGAATCCTGGGTGGGGTTTTTCGTTTGTTTCGTTTATTTTGTTTTTGGGGAGCGAGGCACGGCTCGGTGCTGGAAGCCGCTCCAGGCTCTGCAGTGCTGGATTTGTACCCGAGTGGTGGCTGCGGCCCCGGGCTAGGTGAATGCCACAACTCTTGTTGTCTCTCCGACCCTGGGAATCATAGTTTAATAAGATAATTTTATTTTGGTTTCCCAGGGCTCCAGAAGTTGTTAGGGATGTGGGGTGCTGGGGATTGAACTCAGTCAGCCGTATGCGGGCAAACACCTTGAGTGTTGTACTGTCTCTCTGGCCTCATATTTTTAACAGGATCTCTCTCTCTTTTTTAATTAAGGTTTTTTGTTTTGTTTTGTTTTGTTTTGTTTTTTTTGGTCAATATGAATTACAGAGAATTACAGAGTTACAAAGTTATTCATGGATTTCAAACATGCAATATTCCAACACAAGTTGCTTCACCAGTATCTTCTTCCCCCCAACAATGTCTCTAGTTTCTCTCCAGCCTCTCCCCCCCCCTCCACCAGGCTGCCTCTGTGGCAGGCATTTTCCCCCTCCTCCATTGTCCTGGTGTTCCCTTCCTGACCTCTCTCCCACCTCTTCTACATTGGCAATCTTCCTACTGAAGATCAGTTCTCCTACTCTTCATTTCTGTTGTCTTTGTTATTCCATTACAAATATTCCATTCCACATCTCTCTCACTCTCTCTCTCCACTCTCTGTCTGTCTGTCTCTCTCTCTCTCTCGGCCTCTCTCTCTCTCTCTCTCTCTCTCTTTGTTCATTCTCTCTCTCTTATTTTGGAACCATACCTGACAGTGCTCTGGGTACTCCTGACTGGTGCTCAGGAGGTGTTCCTGGAGATGCGTGGAGAACCAAGTAGTGCTGAGGATGGAACCAAGTGTTGGGGGGTCCTGTACCCAAATATGCCCTCCAACGCCATCAGCCATCTCCCCTTCCCCAACTTTTGGCTTATATGTCCAGCCACAGGCAGAAACCCTGGAGGAACCAGGAGAAGGGCCTGGCCTCCAGCATGTTCTGAAGTTACCACCTGTGTGACCGTGGGCAAGCAACTTCGCTGGGCCTGTAAGATGGGGGGCTCTCAGCACTGCCTCACAAGGCGGGGGAGCTGTGCCTGAGAATGGAAGGACTCCTTACTGGCCAGTGAGAAATACCGAATGGAGCGCACTGTCGTCAGGTCGCTGCTGAGCCTGGGGCAGCACTGGGCCCAGCGAGGGCCGACACCTCCTCACGCTGCCCTGCTCGGCCTCCCCGGGCTCAGGGAGGACAATGTTGTCACAGACAGGTTTGGGCTCACCTGTGTCCCCACAGTGCCTGTCTAATGGTGAAAGGGGAACCGGGTCCAGAAGCCTGCTTATGGTCGTCTGTGTGGGTTCCTGTCAGCACCGCTTTTCGGACTAGTTTTCCAGCAGAGAGGAAGGCAAACACACACTGAGCACTGAGTCATGAGCCCATGTCGGTGGTGTTCAGCCCAGCTGGACGCGATTCTCATGAGAACAGTGACATCAAGTGGGACCCAACAGGAGTCCCGTCAGAGCAAATGGACCTTGTCCCTCAAAGGCATGGTCAGCTCAGGATTTTGGGTGTCCAGCAACATTCAAGAGACAAAGAGTCTTTCATTACGAAAGAGACTGAGCCAGGAGTGATCCTTGAGCACAGAGCCAGGAGTGACTCCTGAACACAGATCCAGGGGTGATCCCTGAGCATAGAGCCAAGGGTGATCCCTGAGCACAGAGCCAGGAGTGATCCCTGAGCACAAAGCCAGGAGTGACTCCTGAACACAGAGTCAGGAATGATCCCTGAGCATAGAGCCAGGGGTGATCCCTGAGCCCAGAGCCAGGAGTGACCTCTGAGCACAGAGTCAAGAGTAATCCCTGAGCACAGAGCCAGGAGTGATCCCTGAGCAGAGCCAGGAGTGAGCCCTGAGCACTGAGCCAAGAATGACTACTGACACAGAACCCGGGGTGAACCCTGGACACAGAGCCAGGAGTAAGCCCTGAGCACCACCGAGATGGCTCATCTCTGCCCCACAGTGAGACTGCAGCCTGGCTGTTGGGGGTCTGGCAGTCTGAGTGAGCCTTGGAAGGAGCCGGCAGCAGGGGTGAGGGGTGTGGTGCTGAGAGGGGTGAAGCAACGAGACCAGGCGGGGTGAGTCCAGGTGGGAGGCCAGGGGCCTTCGGGGAGAGATTCCACTGACCCCCTGGGTTGCTGAAGGTTGCCTGGAAAGCGATGCTGTTCGAGAATCTTCCCCGAAGACATGGGGCATGCTGGAAGGCTACGGTGCAAGGGCGAGATAGGCAAACCCATCGTGCCCTCTCTTTGCTTCCCCCTGTGAGAGGTCAGATTCTGGACATGTTTCCTGGGTTCTGGTCAGTATAGAGGGAGAGGGAAGCGAATGCACTCAGGTTGGGGCTCAGTAAAAGGCATGGGTCCCCTACTGGGAGAAAAGCTGCCCCCACGGTTCTCTCAGAATGGCCTCACCCCAGTATCCAGGCTCCAGCCCTCCATGGCCACTTCGCTCTCACCTGCTCACCCCGACACCTTCCATGAGGAGGAGGGGGGCCTTCATGGACTCAGGCATGCACAGCAGAGATGGGAGCGGGTCGGGCGAATTCCTGAGGAAACGACACTCAAGGTGAAGCCGATAACCGCCTATCGTGAGGCCAGGCCGCCCTCAGCCACCCACCAATTATTTCTGAAATAACAGCTTCCTTGAGTCGGGCAGGTTGTGTGTAATTAGTCCAATGCCAGGCCTAATCCTCCCGTCACTGATGCCTTCCTGGGCCTCTATTACCCGCTGGGGCTGGGCCAGGCCCTGAGCACTGCGGACAGAGACCAGATGCTCTGTTAGGTCCCCTGGAAGCAGGCCGGTGCCACCAGGGCCTGGGGGCCTCAGGCCGGCCACTCACTGAGTTTCTAGAAGCCAAGAATCACGTGCTCAGAGGACCGTATGGGGTGCTGGGGACTGAACCTAGGCTGGCCACGTGCAAGGCAAGCACCCTGCCCGCTGTCCATGCGGCCGCAACGCAGCCATTCCTAACAGACTGTTCACTCTTCTCCTTCAGAAACCTTCCCGGGGACCCCCTGGCTGAACTGCTGCACCCCAACAGCATTCTTCAACTCGGTCTGCCCCGCATCCACCACCCCCCCCCCCCGGCGACCTGGGGGTGTCGCAGCATGAAGCCGCGGGGCTAGCGCGCTGACCACCCGGCCTGTGCGCCCCGTCGGAGGGAGTCCGGCTGCACCGCGGACGGGACCTGAGCTCCCGGCGCAGCTGCGGGATGGGCCACTTCAGAAGCATCAGGGTCACTCGGGAAGCCGCCGCCGAGAGCGACGAGAGACCCTAACCCGTCGGGGGCCCCCCGGGGGCCACCGCCTGCCATGTGACTCGGCCCCCCGCGGCGGTTCGGGCGGGTCTCGGTCTGGGTCCGGCGCCGCGCGCGCGCGCGGCCGCAGCATGAACAGCAACTTCTGCCGGGCCCTGGCGGAGCGGCGGCCCGGCGCGCCCCCCAGCTGCATGCAGCTGGGCATGGTGCCCCCGCCCCCCCGGCAGGCGCCGCTGCCGCCCGCCGAGCCCCTGGGCAACGTGCCCTTCCTGCTGTACCCGGGGCCCGCCGAGGCGCCCTACTACGACGCCTACGCGGGCGTGTTCCCCTACGTGCCCTTCCCCGGCGCCTTCGGGGTCTACGACTACCCCTTCGAGCCCGCCTTCATCCAGAAGCGCAACGAGCGCGAGCGGCAGCGCGTCAAGTGCGTGAACGAGGGCTACGCGCGCCTCCGCGGCCACCTGCCCGGCGCGCTGGCCGAGAAGCGGCTGAGCAAGGTGGAGACGCTGCGCGCCGCCATCCGCTACATCAAGTACCTGCAGGAGCTGCTCAGCGCCGCCCCCGACGGCGCCGCGCCCCCCGGGCCCCCCGCCGCGCCCGCGCCCGCGCCCGCGCCGCCGCCGCCGCTGCTGGCGTCCGAGGAGCCGGAGCGTCCCTGAGCGTCCCGCCCGGCCCGCTGCCCGCCCCCCAACGCCCCTGCCTCGCCCCGCATCAGCACGGAGGAGGGGGCTGCGCGGTCCCCCGGGGCGCCGGCTCTTTCGCCCTCAAGGGGATCGGGGTGCGAGTCTCTGCGTGGGGACTCTGCTCCCGGGAAGGGACGCCGAGGGCGGAGGCGGGAGGCGCTCAGCTGGGCCGGAACCCCCGAAATTAGGGAGAGACGGAGGGTGGCCGTGGGGACCCTCCGATGCCTTCGGCGGGGGGTGGACCGGCACCCCGTGAGCGTCTCCCCCAGCAGCCTTTTCCTGAGTTTCCCGAGTTGGGTGAGCCCTGCCTTTGCTCGGGTGGGGCTCTCTGGACTGGGCGCAATTAAAGCTTTACTGAGTTACCCGGTTTCCTAGATCGTCTGTTCCCCAGCCTCCACTTCTGCAACCCTCTCCTGGCTCAGCCGTTGTTGGGAGGGGTCTTGGGGGACCCGGGGAGCTCTGTTCTGGGGCAGAGCCCTGGGGAGGAGAACCCCAACCTCATCCCGCACGGGGGAGTGGCCGGGAGAAAGGCCCAGGCCATGTATTCACCCCACAGTCAGGCAGGTGGTGGCTAACCCCAGTTCTGGAATCTTCCACCACGGTGTGGAAAAGCCAGGTGTCTCCCTGATATGGGTGGGTGAGTGAGTGTAGGGGGGAGGCAGGAGTTGGGGGAGGTGTGGGGGAGCTGTGCCCGAAATGGGGGCTGGGAGGTGGTTCCTCCTGGCCCCGGGAACCAGGTTTCCGGTGCGAGACCCCCTTTCTGAACTTTCTGTGTCCCCGCCCTGACACCTCTGTCCATCCGCGTCCCTCTGCCTGGCCTGTGTGTGGCTTCCTTGGGCCCCACCCCTCGCCGGCCTCCCCAGGGACAGGCCGGCCGGGCTGGACCGCTGACAGCTGCCTGGGCGCGAGCCCCACGCCGCAGGTGGAGGCTAATTTTACCCACTGGGAGTCAGAATAATCCTCAGTCCCACCCCCTCTGGCTCAGCAGCCACTGGGGGCCCAGTCCCCCAGGCCGGGGCATTGGGGACGCAGGGAGGAGAGGGCTGTGGGGCGGGGGAGCCCGCAGGAGCCATGGAGCCGCCGCCGTCACCCCAGGACGAGGGCCTGAAGAAGAAGCAGCCCAAGAAGGCCCTGCCCGAGCTCCTGCCCAGGCCGCCCCGCGCCTTGTTCTGCCTGACCCTGCAGAACCCGCTGAGGAAGGCCTGCATCAGCATCGTGGAGTGGAAGTATCCTTGGGAGTCTGGAGTGTGGAGGGGGAGGGGGTGGAACCAGGGCCCTGTCAATGGGGTGAGGTGCCCCCAAGTGGGGCAAAGTGCCTTCAGGGAGGACCAGGGGTGTAGGGGGTGGGGGGCACCTCTAAGGCACCAGCCTTTCCCCCGAAGAGAGGAGGCTGAGGTTAGCATAGGATGGGGGGACCCTGTGGGAAAGTCCCCAGGTTCCGGTTTGTGGGGGTGTGGGCGGCAGGTTGGGGGGCACTGACGAGGGAGACTTGTTGCTGGGGGGGATGGGAGTGAGGTGGGGCTGGGGGGAGGGGCTGCAAGACCCCCCCCCCAGAGACAAGGGGAGAGGCCCTGAAGCCCTTCTCTGACAGGGTGTCAGGGGAAGATGGGGGGGGCACCCTGGGGTTATTTAGGGAGAGACACAGTGAGGTGAGAAGCTGGCGACTGGGCGCTGAGGAGGTCCAAGCGGGGGCTGTTCTCTGCCCCCCGGAGGTCCGGTTCCCCAAACTCCCAAGGCCTAACTCCCTGGGATCCAGCTCCCCACCCCCTGAGTTCCTCCCCGCCCCTTCCTGCCCCCCTCCCCAATACCCTTTTGAGGAACGGAAAACCGTCCAGAGCTGGAAATCTGGCAAAGCAAGGGACTGAGGGGCTCCATCTGGGCAGGGACCAGCTGCACTGAGCCCCTTCAAGCCTCCTGGAGCCTCTTCCCCCACCTGTCCAGGGGGCCGTGGGCCCTGGGCTCCCCCTCACCCCAGCCCCTGCTCGGGGCGCTTAGCTCCAGCTTGTCAGTTCTCCCGTTTCTGGTGCCTTTTCTCTGGGGGAGCCCCCGTGGGTGTCTGGCCAGAACCCCAGAAAGTCCTGGCTCCTACAGGATGGGCGCGGGGGAGGTCCAAGGGGGGACTCCCAGCTCTTAGAGCTGAGGGGCCTCGGCCTGAGTCTGAGGGTCCAGGCCCAAAGCAGCTACAAACAAGCTCAAGGGTGAGGTGGAGGAGAGAGAAAGGGGGGAGAGGGGACTCACAGGCCCGTCGGCAAGGCTTGCTAGGCTCTCCTCTCCCCTGAGAACCCATCACGCGCCCCTCAGGCCTGTCCTTAACTCTGGCCCCAGGCCCTTCGAGACCATCATCTTACTCACCATCTTCGCCAACTGCGTGGCCCTGGCTGTGTACCTGCCTATGCCAGAAGATGACAACAACACCCTGAACATGGGCCTGGTGAGACCCCACCCCCCACAGGCCTGCAGTCCCTGCTGGGGTCCCCCGGGGAGACTCAGCCAGGGCTGTCCTCTCCTGCCTGCCCACTCCTGCCTCAAGGCTGCCTGCAGGGCCCCCCAGGGGCTGCTGTGGCTTTGCAGGGCACGCCTGCTCCCTCAGGGTTCTGGCGTATGGGCGCATGCTGGAGGGCCAAGAGTGGGTCCCTGCACCCGAGCCAGAGTGCAGTAGGCAGGGAGTGGGCAGGGCAGTGGGCAGGGCACTGGCCTAGCATGTGACTCATCTGGGTTCAATCCCCGGTACCACATATGACTCCTGGAGCCTACCGGGGTGATTTCCAAGCCGAGAGTCAGGAGTGAGCCCTAAGCACTGCTGGGTGTGACCTAAATGAGAAGGGGGGAGAGAGAGAGGGAGGGAGGGAGAGAGAGAGAGGAAGTTCATTGACTTTCCCCAGAAGGATACTGCTAGTGAGAGGGAGGAGCAATTTAGGGAATTCAGCTTGTGAGCCTGGGGGCTGCCCGTGTCCCTTCTCCATCTTCCTGCTGCGTCCAGAAGGAGCTTCTGCCATGAGTCTGCCTTCCCAGGGAGTTGGATCCAGAGTCCCAAGAGAAGACAGGCTTGAGCATCCTACCATTCTCCCATCCCCTCCACCTTCTCCTCACACCACCGCCACTCAGGCAAGGGCTGAGGAATGGCAGAGCTGGAGGAATCTTCCAGAACCAGTTTCGCTTCTCCCCACCTCATTCTTCATGTGTGTGTGTTTGGGTGGGGGTAGGGAACACACCGAGTCTCTGCTCAGGGGCTCACTCCCAGCAGCACTCCAGGGATTGGACCAGGGTCCTCTGCTTAGAAGGCCATAACCCGGCCACTCTCTCTGCAGCCTCCCCGGCCCCTTCTTCGATGGTTGGGAAAAGGGGGTCTGAGGCCTAAGGGGGTCTGAGGGCTCAACATCGGGACAGTAACACACACAGAACTTCCACTCGGTGACCCTTAGATACCTAGCTCTGTGCTAAGAATTTAACGTCACTGTTTGTCTCTCTCTCTCTCTCTCTCTCTCTCTCTCTCTCTCTCTCTCTCTCTCACACACACACACACACACGCACGCACGCACACACACGCCACCACCTTCCAAATTGGCTTTGGGAGGTCAGTGACTTTATCAGACCCAGGATAAGACAAGCAAAGGGAAGTTTGTTTTGTTTGAGGGCCTCACCTGGCAATGCTCGGAGATTACTTCTGGTTCTGCACTCACAAGTCACTCCTGAAGGTGACCTGGGGACCCTATGGGATGCCGGGGATCAGCAAGTGCCCTGCTGGCTGTACTATCCCTTCAGGCCCTTGGAACTGGGCCCCAAGACCACCCCTCCTCCAAGTCTTATCCCCGGTTCCCCAGTCCAGAATATTCTGACTCTAGGACCTGCCTTGCCCCAGAGTTGGGGTGAAACAATGGCAGTATGAGATTCGGGGTGGAGGACTGGGGTCAGCAACACCCTCGGGACGGAGCCCACAGTTGTCAATGCTGGCCCCCCCATGTGACAGGACCCACCACAACCACTAGTGTCTCTTGCCCCAACACCGCCGTGAGAGGCAGACGGCCCGTGGGTGAGCCGCAGCGCCTGAGAGAAAAAGATTTCTCGCCAGCTGGTCCATGCTGGTTTCCATGGGGATCTATCTTGAGCCGCCCAGATATGGGTTCTAAGTGTGTGCCAGGAGAAACTTCTGGGCTCCGAGCGTGGAAGGAGAGTGGCATTAACTGTGGGAAGGGCTGGCGTTTGGGAAGACGCGTCTCTCTGCGCTCCGGGCCTTCCATGGGGCAGGCCCCGTTCTCCGTGTTTCTGGGCCCTGGAGGGCTCTAGCGTCCCCTTTCAGGACCCAGGCCTGGCCTGGTGCTCTGTGTCAGCTTGAGATGCTGCCTGCCTCCGAGTCTGCCCTCGTGCAGTGTTTAGTTACCTGAAGCAAAATGGCTGCCCTGACACCTAAATGGTCTTGTGTGCTTTGTGGCAGAGGCAGGCAGTCTTGGGTGGGCTTATGAGAGACTGAGGCGTTTTCTGGAAGCAGAAAACCTGACCAGAAAGAAACCTTGGCAAAGCAGCACTTGGCGCCTCAGTTGTCAAAGCTGAAGAAACGGGTGGTCCGTGGAGGGAGTGGAGCGGGGCGTGACACCCGGGGTCACACGCCAGCTGGTGCTGGGGTCCCCTCCCCCTCGCCCTTGAGTGTGTGTGTGTGTGTGTTGTTCAGCCCCATCAAGCCCTCAGGAGGTCCAGGAGAGGCGATGCAGCAGGAGGAGGGGAGGCAGACACCTTCTCTCCACCCTGCTGGTGGCTCTGAAGGGTCTCAGAGAGACCAGGGACTCTCGGGGTCCAGAGACTCCTGGGTGTTTAGGACAGGCCCCTATGTCCTTCATACCACCTGCGTTTCCCATACTCACCGGATTCACGGGAAATGCATGAACCCAGGTTCCTGGTTTCCGTCTTCACGACACTGCCTGGAAGCAGTCAAAGCAGCGATCATGGCTTAAAAAATTAAAAAATGGGAGCCACCAGGGCTCCTGAGGACAGGGCTGGAGCGGGCATGAGTGAGTCTGCGGGCAGCGAGGCTCTGCAGGGTTGGGGATGGGCAGACGGGAGCTGGAGGACAAGACCGGGGTGAGGAGGGGATGCGGCCTGCGCTGCCGCGGGTCCCTCCTACCAAGAGGACAGTGAGGCCTGGAGCAGGCAGGCACGGTGGCTGGACGGTGCTGGAGTCCCAGGCCGCCGGGTG